GTCTGGGTGCAACAAGCCTATGCCCTCCCCCATTTTGCTGTTGTGCCAGGCATGGCTGCTGCTGTGGCTAAAGATCCCCTCCACTCTCCTGAGTGAAAAAGCACCAAAGGGAAAAATAGATGGGTCGGTCCAACAATGCCGGCAATGCTGTGAGACCCACGAGTGGGTGACCGCTGTTTACTGCTTGTATGTGAGCCAGAGACTTGCCTTTCGCCAGCTATCCCACCTGGTCATCCCTCTGCCTCCAAAGACTGGAAATTCTAAATGTGATAACTCTGGAATTCGTATACTCCAGTCTCCACCCTTTGTTTTTGCTATTTTTGTTGTTTATTTTCCAGTAGCTTTCCTGCACCAATTCTGTAAAGTCTTTATTTTTGGTGTGGTCACTGAATTCTCTGCTTTATGGGCCTCATGATTAACCTATTTGTATGTCTGAATTGTCTTGAACCAATAAATCTCCCAGCCTGTGGCAAAGAACTCCCAGAGGATGCGTGATGTTCCTTCCACACACAGGAGGCAGCACACCACTCTGTCTTAGATCTACTCTTGCTTAAGCAGAGCTCTGACAGAATCTCGCTCTTGCCAGAAGCCAGAGTCTGTCTCCCCAAATCTGTCCTGGGCACACACATAACTTGGCACATGTTTTCAGATTCCTGTTCTCCCAGTGAATATCCCATTCTGAATATTTCACTTTTAAGTTTTTGGGTTCTCTTTTGTTTGCTTCGGTTGTTATTGCAAATTCAGGCATCACTGATATTAAATGGTTGCTACTGATATTTTGTTTTCAACAGTTGCTGCAGAGAACACTCTTCATATGAGCAGGCTCTGGGCCAGGCTTAATACAGGCATGCCCAGAAAGTAGGGGCAGCAGGGTACTGTGTACAGGAAAACAGTGACAATTTTCTGGGGGCTGACTTTTGTGGAACTCTCAACATCCTGTCACATCCACGACTGACCCGATGCTGGTATTCTAGCTTTCTTGATTGTGAGGCTGTGGGTGTTCAAGACTATTGAAAAACTGGAGAATAGAGTTGGGAGTAAGATGCTTAAAATTCTATAATGCTCATTGTTTGTACAAAGTTTTGGTCACCTTTTCCCCCCAACTAATGCTCCTGGGATCTTTGTAGGCTTTGGTTGACTTATAGAATTCCAAGCGAGGTGAGTGTGATTGTGATTTTCTAGAGTTTACATTGCTTTAATAGAAGAATTATTTTTTGGAGGTACTTACTCCATCATTCCAGTAGTAGTGGCTTAGATCACTAGCACTATTCAAACACATAATTGTTGTTATTTCTTTTACTCAATTCAGAAAGGTGAATGGGAGAATCCAGAAGATTATACTAGAGATTACTGTCTGAATGATTGTCACCAGGATGCTCTTCATAGAGTCAAATCTTCAACTCCTGTTACTGGAGTAGAGGGAGGTGGTAGAGACCCCCCCAGAAAGCCAGGAGACTCTGGAAGATAATGATTTTAAACGAGGTTATAAAGTTTATGAGGCACTTTCCATTCATATCATTTTACTTTCCTGTGTGTCCTTTTTCTCTTGGAAATTTGACTGGGTCATTAATGTGATATTAACACATTAATGTGATATTAACACATTAATGTGTTAATGTGATATTAACATTGGATGCTGTCTGGATTCCTTGAAGTCTATGGCAAGCATGATTGTGATTTCCTGGTGATCAGGAACCATGCATCCAAATATGTTTTTTGTTGTTCTTTTTAATCCTAGTAGAGTGGCTGGCCTACTACAAGTGCACAGCAAAGTTTAGTTACTGAGTGGGTTACTGTGTACCAGCCCCTTAATGTCCTCAGGCACAGGATATGCTGCAAACCTGGCCATCCATAATAAGAGTTTCGGATCTTTCACTAGAAACTAACTATATTATATTATTAATTATTATCTAAATGCTCTTCTCAACCATTAAGTGCATATGCCAAGAAATCTTACTTTAGAAAGTGATTGGAAAATATATACGTATATGAAAAACACTGTAAAAGTTATTGTGAAACATGGCAGGGAAAGTTATCTAACTTCTCTGGTTTACATGAAGTAGGATAACCCCTTGACACTTCTGCCCCCTCATCTCATGTGGGAAAAGGGTCCTACACATATCATCCCCATTATCCTGGTCTTTCTGGGGCCCAAGTCATAGGAAGTCAAACACTAAGGGGAGACTTGAAAGTGTTTGATGATGTTGGTTGAGTGGGTTCAGAAGTCTGTCTCACTTGGGACTTCAGTTACAGACTGGTAATGTTTCTGCACTCCTGTGTCACTTCCTCCAGGGAAGTGGGTGCCTGCAGTTTAAGTCCCCTTAAACTTTATCCCCTAACCAGGGATAAAGATTTCGTTTGATCTACATTTGTGATTTTTGTCGTATTTCTCTACTTGTGTAAGGATTTTGTCAAGTAGAAGAGTAATGCTATTTGACACAAAAAATCCACAAGGCAGTATCAATAATGAATAGTGTTATAATCCACTGCGTCTTTATTATTAATGTAATTTAAGTAATAGAAGTGTATATAAGGAAAACAATACCCAGACTTTTTTGATGTAGGTAATATTTTATGAAATATAGTAACTATAAAACTAATATATGGTCATAACTTTCAGAAAACAAAAATGTATAAAATAAGTCATAACCTTGGAGTAAATAATTTTTTTAAAAGATTTATTTACTTATGCATACAAGAACTGTGGTGTAAGTCAGAGGTGTGGGGGGGGTGAGAGGATTCACCAGAGACAGAGTGGGGAGCAGAACATGCAGATCTACTGAAATACACTGCTGAGGGTAGCAGCGGGCGAGTCAGGAGAGGTCTGCTGTGCCATGTGAGTCAGCTCCCTGGCCGGGGATCGAACTCATGCTGCAATGGCTGGTGATAGCTTGATAGTGCTGTCTGTAACCCCTGTGCCACCAGGGAGGCCAGAGTAAATAATTTTAAACCATCATTTAAAATCTCTTCAAGGTTTTCTATACTTATATGCATATTTATCTATCAACCTACGAACAACCATATCTTTTTAGTAAATTCAAGATCATCATATAATTTTATATTCTACTATTTATTTTAATGTTATAATTACTATCACTTCTTCCTTGAAAACATGACTTTTAATATCTACCTGATATTCTGCCTCAAATGGAGTCACATTTTACCAACATATTCCTCTGGTGTGGGCTAATTAGGCTATGTTTACTATTTTATTAAAAATGCCGAATTATTATTTGTGTTTATACAAAGTCCGTGAATTATGTCCCAAATACAGACTCCTAGATTCGACATTACAGGGCAAAGACGCTAAATATTTTCAAATTCATTTACAGATTTTGAAATAACTTACATAATCCCAAGCAGTATAATAAAATTTTGTCTATTTTGTATCATTGCTATTGATAATAAATAATATCTTTCATATAAAGAACATGTTTTAAAAGTTTGGGCACCTCAATGGTATTGAAATTTTAAATTTTAGCATTAATTTTGAAAATATGATTGAGACTTATTGGCTAACATATTAGTTTCCTGGGACTTCCATATTAAAGCATTAATACCTGGGTGACTTAAAATAACAGAAATATACTGTTTCAAAGTTCTGGATGCTAGAAGTCTAAAATCAAGAGCCATGCTCTCTCTGACAGCTCCTTTTTTGCCTTTTCTAATTTCTGGAGTTTCCCAGTAATTCTTGGCATCCCTTGGCTTCAATCCAAAGTAGATGCATTCTTCCAATAACACAGCTGACTTCTCTCTTGCCTATGTTCATATTATCCTATGTCTTTGGTCACTTAGCAAAATTTCTCTTTTTCCTGATGACACCAGTCATATTGGAATAGGGACCATCGTGATATTTTTGACCTCCTTTTTACCCTGATAGTTTCTGTAAAAACCCTATTTCCAAAAAGGGTCACCTTCTGAGTTACTGGGGATTAGGACTTCAACATACCTTTTGTTGGGGGAGGACACAACTCAACCCATAACAGCTACTTTATTTTTTATTGTGTTTATATTTTTAACCTATTTTTCTATTAAAAGAATTTTAAAACTTTACAAACACAATTCAAAGATATGTGGGTTTTGTTCCAGATCACCATAATAAAGCAAATATTGCAATGAGTCACACAATTTTTTTGATTTCCCACTGCTTATGAAAGTTATGTTTATATGAAATTTGCAATAGCATTATGTCAAAAAATGCACATACCTTAAAATCAAACATGACACACAGATGTAAAATGAGCACATGGTGTTGGATAAATGGCACCAATATATTTGCTCAATGCAGGGTTGCCACAAACCTTCAATTTGCAAAAAATGCATTAGCTGTGAACCACAATAAAGTGAAATACAATAAAATGAAATATACCTGTAATTAAAAATAATTTTCATATTTAAGGATATCATTATTATTATATAACAGTAAATATTTTCTAGCTTGTTGTAAATTCAATCCATTGTTTTTAAAAAAAACCCTTATAAATGTTTATTAATTCTTTTACTTTTCCAGGATAAGTAGAGTGTTCAAAAATCCTTTACCTAACATGAGGTCAGAGTTTTATCCTTTAGATTAAAAACTCTTTATCTTGTCTGGAATTATTTTGATAAGTTTTATGAAGAGAGTATCTTTCTCCTTTTCTCCTTCCTTTTTTCTTCCTTCCTTCTTTATTTCAAATAGTTTTTGTAAAATATTTCAAAATTGTCTATTGACTTAGCAGTAGAGGTTATTTCCTGGGAACATGGATAAGGTTCTCTAGCCATGTTTGTCATGACAGTTTGTACATGCACAAATGTACATACACACAGAGACATACATGCATTCACACACATACTCAACACATACTTCCAATCACACATACACTCACACACATACTTACACACACTCACATCAGAGAACTGTGTTAAAGTCCTGGAGGGTGATATAACCAAAGATAAGAGTGTGGGAGGAAGTGTGTAATAACCATCTCCTGGGCTCAAGCCTGAGTGAGTCTGTAATTTTTTTAATTACTCAAAGCTACATCTTCCCTGGGTCCACTTCCTTTGCAAAGAATGGTCTTCTTGAGCGCTGCCTTTACTTCCCGGTTCCTCAGGCAGTAAATGATGGGGTTGAGCAGTGGGACAATAACAGTGTAGAGAACAGACACCACCTTGTTGGAGTTGTAGGCGTACATAAGCTTGGGGCGGGCATAGGTGAAAAGGGTGGTAGAGTAGAAGAGAGTCACAACTGTCAGATGAGAGGCACAAGTGGAGAAGGCCTTTTTGCGCCCCTGAGCAGAAGGGATCTTAAGGATAGTGGTGAGAATCGTGATATAAGATGCCACCACCACACAAAGAGGAACAGCAATGACCATGAGGGCCAAGAAGAAGTCAACCAGCTCGGCCTGTGAGGAGTCCTCACAGGAGACATTGAGGAGCGGAGAGATGTCGCAGAAGTAGTGGTTGATATGGGGCGTGCCACAGTAGCGGAGTCTAGCAATAAAGACCATCTTAATCATGGCTGTCAGGAGGCCACAGACCCAGCAGCCCCCTGCCAGTACACCACAAAGCTTGTTGGTCATGATGACCGGGTAGCGTAGTGGATTACAAATGGCTACGTAGCGGTCAAAGGCCATGACAGCGAGCAGGATGTACTCAGTGCAGACAAAGGTCACAAAGAAGTAAAGCTGAGTCATACAGCCATTGAAGGAAATGCTCTTGTCGCGGCTGAGGAAGTCTGTCAGCATCTTGGGGCTGATGACTGTGACATACCACATCTCCAGGAAAGAGAGGTGACTCAGGAAGAAGTACATGGGCTTATGCAGCTGTCCATCACTGCGGATGGCCAGGATGATGAGAAAATTCTCGAGCAGTGTCAGCAGGTAGCTTGTCAGGAAAACAGAGAAGAGGAGCAGCTGGATAGCTGGCCGTGACGGAAATCCCAGAAGAATGAAATGAGTCGTTGCTGTATAGTTATCCCCCTTCAGAACCTTGGAGATCATGACTGGCTGCGAACACAGAAAGGTCAGTTCCTCCCCTGCCCAGAACATTACCTGTGGTTTTGACCTTGGTGGAGCCCACCACCAGCACACCTGCCACATGGAGGCTCCCTGCCTTTCAATTGTTATTTCCTCTTAAATGGTGATTGGAACCAAAACTGATGACCAAGAATGGACTTTTTATTTTGGAACTAATATCTTATGTTTTCAAATTAAGCCAAGAAGGGTATCTCATCCAAGGGCACAGGGAAGTGAAGCCAGAATTCCCCCGACTCCCAGTTCTGTGCTTTCCCAATACTGTTGAGCAGGGAGTGGCCTTCAGACCACCCTTCACTGCAGGCAAGTACCCTGACCTACCACAGAGGGCAGGTGGCTCAGTTGCACATTCTCCAGGTACAATTTGTGTGACTCTGGATAAGTCATATGGCCCCACTTATCTGTAAATCAGAGAGAATCCTTCTGGTTTTTTTTTTTTTAATCTATTTAACAAGTTTCTAAAAACTTGGATGAATGACTATGGGCATACATATTCATAGCAAATTTGAAATGAATATTTACCAGCTTCTCAAAGAACAAAATTGAATGGATTACTTAAATGGTAATATATTTTTTAATCTATTATATAGAATGCTTGATTAGGACTTTGAAAAAAGCACTATAAATTCCACTTTGGTCCCACGTTAGCTATATGAACATATTACATAAACCTTCAGAATTATTGATTATTTTCTTTCTTTTTTTTAAAAAAAGATTTATTTATTCATATAAGAACTGGGGTAAGGCCAGAGACATGGGAGGGTGAGAGGATTCACCAGAGACAGAATGGGGAGCAGAACTGGCAGATTGACTGAAATACACTGCTGAGGGCTGCAGCAGGCGAGACAGGAGAGGTCTGCCGCGCCATGTGGTTATATCCCTTGCCAGCCAGGAACTGAGCCCATGCTGCAGAGGCTGCAGACAGCTTTACAGAGCTGCTCTCAACCCACTGCACCACCAGGGAGGCCCTGGTTATTTTATTTCTAAGGTGGATATAATGATGTCACATTTTGTGAACATCTAATGAGTTTTGGAGTTTAAATATCCAATTTCCTGTAGGTATTTGTCATTATCTTTCCAGGATATACAATCAACCCCACCTCCCCAACAACAGCAAATATCCAAAGTGGTGGAAACAGCCGTTACTAAGGAGAAAGGAGGTGGCACTATGGGACCTCCACAAGGGTATTAAATTAAAGAGACCAGAAGTTCCTTGAGAGTAACATCAAAGCAATATGGGTCCAGGATGCCTTCTGCTGGCAACACACCCCTGCATCCTGCCCAGACACTCAGCAGAGTTTATGGCCTGTTTTTGGTTGGTCTGAGAATAAATATGGAATCTATGGACACCAAATGCATTCCCATGTCTAGCCTTCCTCTGTGTCCTGCTACGTGGTTCCTCTCTTCTGCTCTTCTCCAGAGTCATTCTCCAGAATTATTCTCCAATTCTCGGCAACCTTGCTTTTGTGGCATAAATGCGTGGGGCAATTGGAAAAAGGTTGTTTTTTCTGGAGGAAAAGTCCTGGAGTAAAAACTAGGAAACAACTGCTTACCCTGTTTTCCTATTTCTACTTAGATCTCAGTTTTAGGATCCTAAAGAGAAGCATCATAGTAAATTCTTACTTATCCATGTTTAGAGAGGTAAACAGACACAGATAACTCAAAAAGTCAAACAAATTATAATAGCACCAATGCAACAAGCAATTCTATTTTCTCTTGGAATATGGTCTTTTAATACCCCACCCCCACTCCACACACACCACAACTCTTGACCTTGAGTGCCATAGTCTGGAATTCACTAGAATCCCCTCAGATTACTTTCTTTAAACCTCTGTTTTAAGAATCCAAACCAATATGAAACCTATTTATGAGCAGTTTGGACCCATTCTCCATTCTGGCTCTCCCATCACATCTCCAGCGGGCAGATGAGATGAACTTGTTTCTAGTTACCAAGAGGTAACTGTGTGGAAGGGGGCACTGCCTTGATTCACAGTAGGAGGACCCCAGTCTCTAGGCTGTGTCCTGGCCTCTGTTCCTGGATACACCTTTATAGTCCAGAAATGTGCAAGGGAGTGCTACAGTGCCGAGTCCTTCCAGGCCCCTTCCCAGAGGCCCATGAACAAATCCTACTGAGTGAAATGTTTCTAAGAATGAATCCAGAAAATAAGAGAAGGCAGTGCTCAGGATTTTAGCAGGAAATATTGCCATTCTCAGAGGAGCGTCTTAGACTTGAAGCTGGAAATAAAAACAGGCCATTTAATTGTAAATCTAAGAATTGCTGAATAAAGTGGGGGTAGTTTCACAGGAACTTTGCATTTCTTCATTTTTCCTTTACTTCCAACAGAATTATAAAAGTTCTGATCTAGCACTGCTAGATAAATTAGCACAAAATAAAAATACAAAGAAATAAAGAGAAAAGAAAGTAATATGCAAAATTCTACCAAGAATGCCTGACTGAGGAGTTTCATCATTTAAGCATGGGGCTTAACTTTGAGCTTCCTAGTAGCCAAATAAAAAAGGAAAGCAAAGCACAGTGTAATCACATTTGATGCTCGTTTGATCATCAACCCAGTTCTGTTTTCTGGAGCTTCAAAGATTAAATCTCATCACTTTCTGAAAGGACAGCCATTCACTCTGCAATGGCTGTCAAGTCTATTCAGTGTCCAACATTTCCACTTAGGTCACTCACACGCTGAAGTCTGAGGCATGCTCCTCAGCTAAGCCCAGGTTAACTGAGACATTTAATGGGAATAATGTCAGAAGGCTGTGAGAATTTACCTGGGATTTAGAACTTGATTTCCTTCTGAAATAGTCAATAGGAAGAGCTTCAGCCCTTTGAGCTTTCTAGTGAGGAGGAGCAGGGGAGAGAACTCTGGCTCTGGTTTCTCAGGGAATGAATGGGTGGGAGTTATGGGAGATGACTCCAGTACTGAATTTGGGTTTGGGGAAGGATCTGCCCTGTTATTTGTGGAGTCAGAGGCCAAGGAAGAAAACTGATGTGGTGAAGGCATTCTAGGCACTGGAAGCATTTAAAAACTGTCAGTGCTGTGGATATTGATCTGAGGGTCCCAGAAATGATCAAAGTAGTGAGGCACAGTGGTGAGAAATATGACAGAAACATCATTTGAGCTCAAACTTCATAATCTTGCCAGAAGATGAGGAAAAGGTGTAGTTTGGTCAGAGGCAGACCTATCAGTATTGGAGCCTCAATGGCAAATCTTTGTCTTAATGGAAAAACAATTTCTCCTCCTTAAAATCAGTTTTAAAGGCTATCATTCTAGCCCCTCTTCCTTCCCCAGTCCTCTTAGAAACACATAAGCTTCAGGGCCATGTGTTTTGCCATTTCTAAGTTTGTAGCAGGACAGACAATTAGCTGTCCTATACTAACCCCTTTGTTTATCTCAGTTTCTTCTGTATTTTGAAGACTTGGTCACTTAACACACTAAACACCCCAAAACCATGGCTTGTGTTATTCAATATTTTTCTTTCCACCCAGGGAGTTTTAGGAAAGTGGTTTTATTTCTATGGGTCTCATTTTTAAACGTGATTAATCTTTGCAGTTTATTTCAGGATCTCAAATTGAGTATAAATGTGACCACATGATCTATTTTTTAAAAATAATTAGTACAGGGGAAAGAGAATCTTACCTTCCTCTTCTTATGCTATGCAGAAATGTGATTTTCTTTTGTCCTCTACGGAGATATGGCATCAAAACTGCCACATTATCCTGTTCCTTCCCTTATGTAATGGATACACATGCATGCACATTCATACATTTTTATTCTACCCACTACTCTTCATAGACACTGATTCATTGATTCTATTTCTCTGTACTTTCTTTCTGTCCCCTAAGTCAGAGTACACCCAGACTCTGTACTTTGCAAGGCATAGAATTGAGTTGATACATCAAATTGATGTGTCTTCAGGAGAGCAAACTGCTGGGCACTTTTGGAGACTTGGGCCCATTTCATCTAGAGTGGGTTCCTACAATAGAGTCTTAAATGTCATAACAACCTGTACTGTGCAATCTCTGAATTCCAAATATTTTCCATATGGCTTAATATACATACATGCTAAAGAAATCTTGATGGGCTTAAAATTAAGTTCACTCCCCAACTGTGTACTGATGTTGCACTCCTCACTGTAGGCTCAAAGTGACACACCTTTAAAAAATCAATACAATGAAATAATTTTCATTTTAAATAAATTATTAAATCAATAACTTAAATAAAAATGGGTCTCAATTACTCTCTTCTTACCTTCACAATAATAAATATTTAAAGACTGATCAAACTCCCCTTTTAGAAATAGCACAGTCTTTTTCCAACTCACCATTTTCTCAGAGGTATAAATTATAATTCTTTTCCCAGACTTCTCAGGCATGGCCAACTTGCACTGAGAAAAGAGAAGAAATCATGTAGACCAGGAGGAGAAAGGTGAGATCCCTAAACCAGAGAATCACTGGTCAAGTCTGGTCTGTGTCTCAGCTCAGCATGGAGAGGACACAGAATGAGGCTATTTGTGCTTTTGTTTGCTTTCAAGCTACTGGAGAAGCAGGAGCCAACTTCCCACCCCCAGGGGACCTGCATATGACAGACTCAGCCCTTAGGAAAGTATCTGTCCTTTCTAGGGCTCAAGGAGGTCCTGGGAGAATATAAGGGAAGAGCTGGCAAGCTAAGTGGAATCTCGAGGCACAGGAGAGTCTGTGAAGTGACTTGAAGCCACTGCCTTCCTCCTGCACCAGACTCTGGGGATGAGGGTGGTGAGGAAAGTGTGTGTGTGTCCTCCTCTCTTTCTGGGGAACAAGTCCCACAAATAATAAATCCTCAGGGGGAAAAGGGCTATCACCCAAGTCATTTAGCAGAAAATAAGAATGGTATTTACCCATCTTCAGTTAGACAGTCAAGTATAATATGAGCGTGCGCACACACACATACATACTCCAAATACTTTTGATATGAATATCA